ACCTCGGTAGGTTCTCTGTACGTGTTCACTTTAATAGCTAGCTGCTAGCTAGACAACATATTATACGCGACACGTTTTACACTCCAAAGGGTCAATGAAGGTGAACTCGGGCAATTTTTATGTTTGTAACAAACTGATGAATTATCAACACGATTATCCAATTAAAGTCAGCGTGTCGCTTTACACTCGATGCACAAATATCCTACACACCCGTGGTGTGTTATAACTTATAATATTATAGTACCTATAAATGACGTCTTTTCCTTCATCCAGCGATCGAAAAATTTTAATTTTCCGGCTACCGGAATATACGCCTATAGTCGACTGCAGCAGTTGCGTCGAGTCGGGTTGCTATAGACAATTTTATTCTTATTATCGGACACGTTCTCCCGACGACGGACACGCCCGCCCGTGCGTTGCATTCGAAATCCTTCACATGCAGCCGGCGTCATTTAAATATAGCCACTATTTGTATTTATCGAGTATACTATCTACCTATACTCTGACGCTTGTATAGAGGAAGTTGAGCGGCTACAGCGAGTACTAATTTTACAGTGTCCTCATATCAATATAATTTTCGATGGCGGACCCCGTTGGTAGGCCGACAGCCAGCAAGCGCGCTGCACCCTCCTCCCTCCTACTCAACCCTGTCGCCCTTATCACAATCAACGGCCGAACGTTTCGTTGAGCGATATCATCTAAATTAAATATTATTATTTGTTGTTGGTGTGTTTTTGTGTTGCCACACACATACAAAATATATACAAAGGGTGTACCTTTATTATCGACTGGTGATGGTAAACGCAGCACTCGGTATAATTTGTTAGGTACACTGTTCGTAACGGGGGGTCTCCGAATCGGAGGTCGGTAATGGGTCGCGTTCAACGGGACTTGTGCATTTTATACGGACGTATTAATACTATCAATATTATAGTATAAGCAGGGATAAGATGAATGCTCTCCGTGTTTCCGTCCTAGTTGGCGCATGTGCATCGCCTTGTGCATAATGCATTGTGTAAGACGAATAATTAATGCACGCATATCATCGTGAGTGACGTCAGCTCGGGTTTATTGTCGGTTGCATATTTTTATAAAATATTGGCCCTTAAAAAAAAATTCGCTCACGCTTATCGTCGATCATGACATATAGATAGGTGCTTGTTGTTCCTCGATACTGTGGTCTGTGTTGAGCGGCGCGCCGCTGGTAAAATGTGCATGGCCAATGACGTACTATGCAGTGCTTTTGAATGTCATACGGTGCATTTACGACATGTCCGCTGTACGGGGGCTGTGTGATATTATGGCGTGTTGCGTTCTATTTTTAAAAATTGGAATCGTCGAGCGTCGATTTGCCGGCGTATTTTTAAACCGCGCGCCAACGTGCCACGAAAAGCGCTCTCGTATCACTGAACAGTAAGTTGTAGTCATTTATGAAGTTCGGTTACCGCTCTCATGGCAGCTGCGATGGGCGGAGAAAAAGCACGCGATATGAGCCCCAAGGTCGTGCCTTTGTCCCGTCGTCGTCTTTATGGCGGGAAAATATTACGAATTTGATTTATTAGCCTACCCCATACGCCGCAACTCCTCCTCGGCGAATCAGTATGGAATTATTTTCCCGAGTGGTATTATAGCGATCAGTCCGCAACGAGACCATACAGGAAACTCTAAATATTCACATCGTTAATGGATGGGGTTACTCGAGAGTCGAAATAGGGGAGTTGGGAAATATAAACAAATTGAGAAGGCGACCTTCTCCGGCAACAAATCGAAAAAAATTGCCGAACAAAGAGCGTGCATTAGCTGAAAAATGCAAAACCATGGTACTGTAAATAAGAGCTTATATTATTGTTATGTTTGAGAGAACCGAGAGATGATAAAAATAGATTTTAAAACGATCTAAACGGATATGGGGGAGTTTCGAAATGGCTTATATTATTTTGAAATAAAAATAAACGATATTAAGATTGCAGTAAAAATAGTTTCAACCCTAACATGTCGCATAATATAATATATTATTATATTATATAATATAATGGTATAATATGGTGTTTATGTTATTATATACCCATATATTATGATTTATGTTGAATACTTTTTCATTTCTATTTATAATTTTATGCAAATATTATTATGTTACTTTTTTCCGTTTGAAATCGTTATTATTTTAAACATTTTGCCTTTGGAAAATCTAAGAATTATATTTTTTAGAAATTTGATCTTAATACGTATCTTGAACATCTGCGATTATGATTTAATGATTTACAATTTACAGTCTACAAGTTCGGGTGTCAGAAAAAGTAGGTCAAGTCCATCTAAACGAGTTTGTAAACATTTACGAAATACGTTAACTAGGAATATTTGACCTCTAACTGAAGAATAGACACTTCTCGACCAGGGATAAAATTGTAATTTCCAAACTTGGCTGTTATACTTTTATGAACTGATCAAGGTACAAATTTAATAATTCCGGGCAATTACATTTATTTAAAATTGATCATCGTCGCAGTAAATAAACTACGTGTACTGAATAACATTAACGACGGGTTGACCGTCATCGAATTATGGATTCGTTTTAATAATAATAATAATAATAATAATATTACCAACGATATCATCTGTATATATTATATAATGACAATCGCTTATTGTTATATAGGTACGTATACCGGATGGTTGATACCTCGCTACGACCTATCATATTTTGTCGTAATTATACTATTATTTGTGTGTTACGTTTATTTTCCGCTTGTATAAATACCATATTGTACGTGGTTGATATTCTTTTGACACGTGTGTTCAATGAACACAATGGACAGTCAATGATGGTTCGTGCATAATAGGTACCTATAATAATAATTGTATCTCAATATAATAGAGAAAACCATTATTCGTTATAATTGATTGTAAATAATTTACAATACCCATAAAATGCGTAATATATTATACCGTTTTGCTCATAATTATAATATATTATTGAACTCGAGTTCTCGGCGTATTGAAATCGTTCTTAATTGGTCATATTATATACGTATTCACTCTTGAATTTTAGAATGTTATTATCATATTATAATATTATATTGTTGTCCATATTAAACGGTGGGGAGAAATTTGAAGCCTTAAAATAATCAGCTTACAGGAAGCACCTGGCTACCAGTGTTGATTGTGTGAGGGGAGGGGGGATATTATTCAACGATATCAAAATCGTGTCTTCCGGTCCGAGGTAAAAGGGCTGTGCGGTGTTCAATGAAATCTCAAGACTGATTATTGTACTAACTATATATACAGGTACCTAGGTATTATGTTTGCACTTAACTGTGACTTTTTTTTCTTTTACCGTTGAAGCTATTATCAATTTCTATACACGTGTACTATTATATTATACGTTTTCCAATCCAGTCGTGACATTTTGACGTACACATTCTATCATTTGCGGTACGCCCGCGCCAACACGAGATGTACCTACGCTTCTTATAATATTGTGGCTCGGCGACAACATTTCAAAACATAAACATTGTTCGGGTCTTGTACTCTTGTATACACTAAACCTTTTGTATATATACGCGTTTATTCGATGCGAAATGAATAAACAAAACATTTATCGTTGGCTACACAACAGCCATCGCTGTTCTACGCGTGATTATATCGACAAAGCATTTTAAAAATAATTCGATTCTTATATGTATATTGTATATAACACGTTTGGCTCGTGTATACGTCAGTTGTCGGGCTCGTTAATGTTGTTGGATCAACTGTGACAACTTCACTTAGGATGAACTGTCGTCCCTAACAGCAAAAAGGACGGAAACGGCGCAGGGGTTCCACTGTTCAAACACTCACTCTTGTTCTACCCGAATGTGTTTACTCAGCGAGGAAGGGTAATCTAATATTGGTCGGCAACGAAATGCTCATTTGATGTCATGGTATTATATCTAATGGGTTTTATAAAAATATATATTTTTTTTAGAAGAGTATCAGCTGTATCATAGAGGTACTCTTGCTAAAACTCCGGTGACCTCGGATAACCGTCGGAACGACACCACCATATTTAGTCTGGGACACACAACCACCGATATTAGGATATATGTCATTAGTACTCGTATTGTCATTTTCATCTTAAAAAATATTATATAATGAATGAATTTATCATTTATCCTTGACTATTATAACGACATGCGTGGTCTTACGATCTACTGTTGTATTAGGATATAGTATTTAACACCCATGTACTGTGTCTATATTATGTTAATATATTATTTCATTGGAATTATATTCCAGACCGTACGTTTGTCGTGCTATACAGTTAGATAACGCACTATAATATGTAGATATCTACAATGGTTTATAAACTCGTTTGTGATAGTGTATAATTCAATTTATGAACACCAAGTTAAATAAAATATTCTAATTTCTAAAATGAATAATAAAACTATAGCCTATGACGTATGGGCGTGTTTAAATAAATTACCCTGTGTCACTTTTATTTGTTCACAATATTAATAGACCAAAATGTCTTGTGTTTCTCATTCATTTATGTAGAATTTCGAAACCAAAATGGTATCCCAAATTTCTTATCAAGATTATACTTATACATTTATACTTGATTTATATTTACATTAGGTGTGCATCTTACACAATGCAGGAGGTCAAAAGATCATTGTGTTGCCCACGTTTTATTTTTTGTTGTTCTTATATTTTTCACTTTTATGTGTATCTCCCAGGCTATTGTTAGAACTGCTTGAATCCTCCGTACGTCTTCACTATGTGTAAGACGGCTATTTATTTTGATTTCCAATTGGGAGAATCACACAATACATAATATTATATTATTATTTGTGCAGAGTTCATTGTAACGACAAATCATAAGTAATAATACAATTATCATTATTATTTGGTGTGGGTTGCTAAAATAATTATTGCGTCCACTGGTTTTATTTTGTTTTGTTTTTCGTGATTTGTTCGAGGCGTTCCAATACTAATCCAATATTTTTTACCTCCTATAGATATCCGCCTCCAGTTAACGACCATCTACGATGTCTGGACCAGCCGAGTCGAAGCACAAGTATCCTTGGTATCCGAACTTCAAGATTACTTCAGAAGGCGGGCCGAGGTAGAAATGGACTACAGCAAAAGCCTGGATAAATTGGCTAAGAGCTTACAACTTCGCCACAAAGAACAAAAACAAAAGTGAGTGCAAAATAACAATAATATTAGTAATGTTGTTGTACTCTCATGTCATAGAAACTGGTTTATTATCCTCGTATATTTGCATTATTCTGCTAAAATAGTTATTTTTGATTTCTTTTTGCTCTAAATAATACTGAGAACATTTATTTAAAATATTAAATGAATACAAGTATTCTAAATTACCTTTTTTTTCTGGTAAAATTTTTTTAATAATCACTGTTACACATCTTGTCACCTATATCTACAATATCGAACTATACATAAGACATATTTAAAGTCACGATTCATGACATTATTACCTACCAAAAAAATAAAATTTAATTTAATATAAAAATTAAATACAATTAAAATATTTTATATTAAAAGCAGTAAAAAAGTATAAAAAACAACTATTCGATAACTATATTATAAGAATATATCTTAATAATTTTGCTCAAGTACCTACTTACAACACTGGATGTATTTTCTACAAACTATAAATTTGTTAATTATAATAGGGTTAAATAGGTAAAATTTAAATATTGTGAGATAATAATGTTAAAAGATACTATTATACTCCTTATATATAGTAAAATTTCTCACGATGTTTTGAATTAAAAATTAATATAAATATTTATAATTGTGAAATTTCACTTGCCACTTTTTGCGTTCTATCGTACACGCCCTCTCACCTCATTGAATATTATAACTTGAACGTAGAAAATAATTTAATACGTGTACCTACTGTAAAATATACGAGACGGCGTTAGTGCGTTTAAAAATTATCATAATATAGGTATATTTTGGAATTAGTATTACTAACTATATACGTCAATAAAAACAAAACACATTAGCTTAGGTGTGTGTATATCCTGTGTTTCACGTTAGTTGCAGGAAGGAATGTAAATTAGTTTGTTTAATATTTGTATTGAAAAAACTTGCATTTATGATATCGTTAACCTTGTGTGTACTTAGGAGAGAGCAGTGGTCGTTGTTTACCAGCTACTCGTGTTGGCAGCAACTGGTGTTGCAAACGAAAAATCTCAGTAAAGATCACGGAGCGCTCAGTGAGCTTTATTCCACTCATCTAGTCAGCCGATTGTCTCAGGTCACTGAAGATGTGCAAAGGATATACAAAAGAGTTAGTAGAGAAAACTAACTTAATAATATTATGTTTAGTCTGCTAGATCGTCACTTTAACTAATTTGCTATTGATTGAACTATTACAGTGCCGGGAGATTTGTTACGAGATACACGAGGAAATATTACGGGTTCTCCACGAACTGCATACCACCATGAAAACGTATCAGTCGTATCAGACGGAAGCCAAACAGGCAGAAGCGAAGCTAAAAGTGGCTGAAAATCAAAGACTGAAAATCGAACAGGCAGTTCCTAAAGAAAAACTCGATAAGTCGAAAAAAGTTAGACTTATTGGGAAAGAAGTTCAAAAAGTAATGATTTGTTAATTATTTGTATTTTTCAACTGCAGTGTTTTAAACGTCGTAGGTACTCACTAATTACGTTTATATTTTAGAGAAAGAACAAGTACTTCGATGCCAAACTAAAAGCATTGAAAGCTCGCAACGAGTACATTCTGTGTCTGGAAGCAACCAATAGCACAGTGCACAAATACTTTGTAGACGACTTATCCGACCTAATGGATTGCATGGATTTTGGGTTTCACCACTGCGTGACCAAAGCTTTAAAGATGCAAACATCGGCGGAAGAAGGCCGCATTCATTCCATGCAAGCTGGCCTAGATGCTACTAATCTTATTGTCTCAGCTATGGACTCTGGTGTGGACAAACAACGATTTTTAGAATTTAACCACACGGCGTTCATGATACCTAAGAAATTTGAATTCCAAGGGCAAAAGGATGAGGTGAATATCGCGCGTTTTGTTATAGTTTTACCAATATTTTACTTACAACGTATCAATTTTTGTTGTTGCTCGATTAGTATGCGGAACCAGAATTGCAAAAATTGCTCTGTGCTGATATGGAGACGAGGTTGGAACAACTGAACCAGAGAGTTACGAGCCTGCACACGGAGTCGGACGAGGTGTGGAAAACCCTCGCCACCGCTGAAAAAACTCTTCTGGAGATGCTCACTGCCAACGACTACGACTGTAGCAATTATTTCGGCGAAAAAGCAATTCCGACGAGCAAACCACCGGAAACCATTAGTATTAAGTTGCGAGCAGACAAACACGAGACTGAAGAATTTTATCTAACCGTGAGTATACCTTCAACTGGACGCAATATATTCGAATATTCCAGATTTAATTCCAATCCTATAAAACAACATTATGCACATAATAAGTCTAAAATACATACCTAGACAATGCAATACATATGCGTATTAACAAATACACACTATATGTGTACACGCACTTTATATATTTTATTTTCCGTCGAGACATCTTTAAATGATAATTGTTATTCATTACATTTATTTTTAATGCTGCACACATGCGGAATATATTTTTATTTTTATTTTTTTTTTACATTTCCTCTTTGTTCTTTGTTGTAGAAACTACGCGATTATCTCATGAGAACGAGTCGAATTGTACGTCTAGATGCCAAACAGCAGCACATTAGCGAAACGTTAACGTCCATATGTTGCAAGCGTCCCCAAAATGGCAACCTCGATGTGACGCCCGCTAAACTTACGCCTCAGCGACCGTTGCACAAACCGATTGTCCGGAGGAAGAGGATCGGCAGGTTACAGATGAATGGTCAACCAAAACTCTTTGGCGGGTCACTGGAAGAATATTTGGATGCGACGAATCAAGAGATACCGCTGGTAATCAAGAGCTGTATTCGAGTGATAAACTTATACGGTAAGATTTTCCATCATAGATGATTTCCTACCTTGGGGTTTCGTTGCTAATCCAACATTTTCCCTGCAGGTCTTCACCATCAAGGAATCTTCAGAGTGTCCGGCTCGCAGGTGGAAATCAACAATTTTAAAGACGCGTTCGAGAGGGGCGAAGACCCGCTTGCCGATATGACGGACGCCTCTGACATAAACTCCGTGGCCGGAGTGTTGAAATTATACTTACGTGAACTCCGAGAACCTCTGTTCCCAATTATTTATTTCGACCAATTTATGGAACTTGCCCGTAAGCTTTTTTTTGAGTATATATTATATAAAAAATTGAAAAAAATCAGGTATATGGTTTGACAAATAGTTTTCAAACGTATTTATCTCAAAAATACGACGTTTCCATAAAAAATACTGTTAATTTCTTATGCATAAAAACGTATAATATAATGTAACAAAATTATACATGAGTGTTGGTATTGACTTGGTATGTTGTCTGAGATAAATACCTATACCTATCAATATTTCAACAAAACTAATTTTCTAATTTTTATTTTTGAAACTATTACAATTTATGGTCAAAAATAAATGAAAGCTTGAATCATTAGATTAAATAGTTTTGAAATCGAATAATTTTTCGATTTATTTACCTAAATATGCGTAGGAGAAATGTGTTTAATGAATAACTCAATTTTACTATATTGCACGTGGGATGTGTAGTTATCGACTGAATAATATATAACATATGTTTTTCAGCTCTTAAGAAGTTATTAATTGTTAAATTATCATTTTGTATGAAAAATATGATAATTACAAAAATAATTGTATAAAGTTGTTTTCGCATACTATACCTACTTATTGGTTAAGTGTTTGAGTTTGTATATTTTATTGTTTTTTAGAACTCGAGTCACGTCATAAATTTGTTTTGAAGATTAAAGAACTTGTTCAAAGCTTTCCAAATCAAGTGGTCGTCATGTTGAGATATTTATTTGCGTTCCTAAACCAGTAAGTTATTTTACGGGTGTAGTTATACTGCTGGTGTTACAATAATAATATATCGATTAAACATATTTTGCGTATTATTTCAGTTTGTCCGAGTTCAGCGACGAAAACATGATGGATGTTTACAATCTGGCCATTTGTTTTGGGCCGACATTAGTGCCGGTCCCTGAAGAAAAAGACCAAGTTCAGTACCAGAACCTGGTCAACGATCTCATAAAAAATATTATTCTATTCCACGAAGACATATTTCCGTCTCTGTCGGATATCGGTGGACTTGTGTACGAAAAGTACATATCCCGCGAGCCCGATGACGTGGACGTGGGCGATTCACCTTCTGACCATGCCACAGAGGACATCGACTCTGAGGTTTACCCATCAGAAGACGGTACGTATTATAGCGTGGTTTAGGTGTAAAACGCATTGTTAGTCGAAGGAAACAATTGAAAAAAAAAAAAAACCAAAGCACTACAAAAACGTGTCTTATTGATTCCAACGGAGCGAAACCGAATATAATGAGATCAAATAACATTCTGTAAAATACGAAAACTAACGAAGCATAGCGATTTGGTGTTGGACTTGACGTAAATGATTTGAAAATATGAGTCACGACTTGTGGTGGTATTACATTATAAATTTAATTGGGTAACATCTTTAGTCAGACAAGTCATTCAAATCACGTTGGTACTTGGTAATCACTTGAATTATACATTGTAATAGATATAAAACGTTTTTAGTGTTTATGGGTAATTTATGATTATGATTTATATTTTATTATTGATATTCCAAGTAATTATACTGACGAAACGAGACGTTTAAAATATTTTATCATGTTTTCATCATTTTTTGTATAGTTTTTTTTTTTTTTTTTTGAAATTTGTTTGAGATAAGTATTATAATCAGTTGTAGGTACTATACGTCTTCATCAATTGAATGTTTAGTATTTTTAACAGAACCAAAAATGTACTCAACTTACATTTGTTTTTTTTTAACGATTTTACAACATAAATACATATTATATAGTTTATAAACTTTCTTCTTTGAATTTTTATATTGTACAATTTTAAATTCAGTTTACAAACATAAACACCTAAAATGTTATTAAAAGGTCACTATATGTTATTGTTATTTTTTTAAGGATATAGAGTAATGTAAAAAATCATAATAAGTACCCTTAAGTTTGGCAATTACTATGATATTTTTTTCTATAAAACATATTCACGATCTACTGTTACTTATATAGTTTTTTCTTAATTCCGCGAACACATTTTTACTTTTTCTAACTATAATTAATATTTTGACTAGGTAAATCATAATTCATAATGATTCATAAGCAATAATAATTATAATAGTAACATTCATATAATATATTTATTTAAAAAAAGTTTCGATCATTAATCATATGTTTGTGAGGGCTTTTATATGTTTAAATTTGTCAGTACAATTTATAATATATAACATAGTAGTTCCATTCAAATTTTTTTGTCAACTGCGATAGCTATTTATCTTTGTTTTCATGTTTCGATGAATATAATATAATGCATTAATGTGTTGTTCAAAACTAGTTCTCGACATGGTAGCCGAAGCGAAACAAGTGCCCTCATCCAGTCTGAAATATCCTGGTTGTTTTTTAATTTATACTTACTATACTTATTTTAGTATAATATAATTCAATACTATTTATACCATTAAAATAAATATATTTGTCAACGGTTCAGTGTATTCGTATTAATTATATCTACCTACTAAAATTGGGTCACAGTTTTTTTGATCAGTTGTGGAATTTTTTGACGGGTCGCCCACAACTTGTACACGAAATTTTATAGTACTGTTATGATTAGAGGAATCAGTGGCGCCGAAGTACAAAAATAAATGTATGGAAAGGATGTCCGACAACCATCCACCCCACAAAGCACACTAAGAAAATTTGAAACCTCTCATAAACAATTTGCCATCCACTTTTGTTTTATTTTTGATCAGATTTCTCTTCTTTTTTCATACGAATTGTATGCAATAATATTAAAATAATATTTAATTACCTGCAACGGCTACAACAATAGTACAAAATACAAAAATATAAACAAAATGCAACCTTTTATATTATATTATAATATTATGTATACAATATTAATATTGTTATTACTCTCAATGGGCAATATTATTTAATAATTTGTGATCCTATTCCTATTAATTTTAATAATTTTATTCTCCTATGAACCCACCCCCCAGCTAAATGTTTATATGTATGACAGCTGCCTCTGAGAAGATTTATTGAGAAGTTTTCGAGCACGTCACGTACCAAATTTGCTATAATATTATATTATTATGGTAAACAAACACTCACGTATTCACATGCGTCCCATCGCGTATAGATGATCACAACTATTGTAAATATGAATTCTATATTATATCCAAGTCTATTTTTTTTAAAAACAATTAAAGTGGGTAGCTCAATTGTTGTGTTGATTTGACTTCACTTGAGATCTAACATTAATATCATATTGGGCCATTTAAAGTGTTTAATATCGTTTTTGTACCCAGAAATCAATCCAGTCTGTCTCATAGCAGTCACCCACAAGCTCCACTCCAAAATAAATACTGTATTCAATATTACAGTATACATGAACGTTAAACATAAATTATCAAATGTAAATTTTGTATACAGATATACATGTGCCATACATTCATCTGGCAAACTCTTATTTTAAAAGTACCTGTATTGAATTAATTTATATAATAATATTGAGTAAGATATTGGTTTATATTTGGATATTTGGATTTCCTGTACAATGGTTTTTTTTCCTGAAAAGTCATTTGATTAATTTATTATAATACATTATACTAATAATTACGTTTTGTTATATATTACTCAAAATGTATTTGTTTTTATTGTAGAATGTGAAAGTCTCGAGGCTACAGCACAGCATGATTTTGTTGCTCGATCAGAACGGGAATTAAGTTTCAAGAAGGGTGAAACTATTGCTCTTCATACACAAGTTTCTGGAGATTGGTGGCGTGGTTGTGTCAACGGTCGAGAAGGTCTTATACCGGACAAATATATACTTCTTAAGATCAGGTAAACATGATAATTCAACAACCGTGGCAATCTAAAATCATAACTTTGTGAAACAAAAGCGATTTAAAAAAAAATGACTGCCCTGCGTTTTAAACTATTGTGAGTCTATAGAGGCATAGTTAATTTTTTTTTATCTCATCATGGTAATTATATAATTTAAATAATAACTTCTGCTAGTGAATATGATATTCATCGAATTTTAGTAAAATAAAACAAATATATTCCAGTGACTATATTTTATAATATTTTATATTGGGCGATGAAAAACAAAATTAAAAATAAAATAAATCCTGTAAGTACTCGGTTTGTTAACATTTTTTTTTTAAATTCTAAACCAGTGTCACTATTATAATATTGTACTTTACTAAGCTGAAAAATGCAATTGTGTGCAATCTAACGAGAGAACTACATTGAACAAATAATCGTACGACGCGTATGTTCTGGGACAAACAAACGGGTAGTTGAGGTACCTACCCACATAATATTTTTCCTAGACAAATTTCTAACTTTTTGAAAATTTAACAATGTATATTGAAGCTCAATTCAGACAAGATTATTTTTATATTTTATTTCAACTACTCCATTGGCGAAAATTAGTGGTGGTAGGGCTTTAGGGTGTTAAGCTCCCTCAAAACTTACAAACATAGAAATTATCCACCCCTCAAACACACTAAGTGGTCAATGGTTACTACTGTATAGTTAATAATAAATATAAAGTAACTTTCATTTAAAATATAGTTGGAGGAGAAAAAAAAAATAAGTCTGTTTAAGCTTTCAGCTATCTACCCATATTTTTTTATCACTTAAAGTAATAGTTCACAAATGCTAATAAATAATAATATACTATATCAATACACTACATCTACGTATTCGTATGCCTGTATAATACACGCGGTGGGTCTAAAATAAATCACACTTGACACGACGTGTTTAATATACTTTGATATACGCAATAAGTAGTAATTTTTTTAATACCAGCCCCCTCCAAAATTACGGATAATTTCCGCCTATCATGATATACTACCCTAACTTTGCGTACGCCAAAAACATATTATATATTTAGTTACTTGAAATCAAAACAGGAAAAGCCCTCTACACCTTATAATATACCCGCGGTATACCTACAACTTAGGTTGGCCCACCTACGAAACCTCGTCTACAACTTGTTTGTCTGCTTACAGGGACGAAGAACGCGAGAAACCTGCGGCCGAACCCTGCGCCAAGTCCATCACGTCCTCGGACGATTCGACCAGACGGCGGACGTCCAGCTCCAACGACTCGGTGCTGTCCGAGTCCGCTGCTTCCGGTTACTCGTCGCCGCCGCTGGCCGACGTGCCGTGGCCACCGAACTCGGCTGGCTCCGGGACAGGGGCCGGTGGCCGGAACTCGGCGTCGTCTTCGCCGCACCGCCGGGCCGTGGCCGACGCGCCCACTCACGAGGTACTTGAGACCACCGTCTGAGTCGAATGCATTTTACGTTTTGTTCTGCCGGTTTTTTTTTTTTTTTAATATTTTTACTCTACCCACGCGTTAGAGATATCGTAGTTTGAAAAGGTTTTTTCTTTTAAATTGAATTATAATTTTTATATTTTTTATCGTAAACTATACTTTTTTTTCGAAAACATCTTCTTCCGCATCCTTTGTATTTTTTTTCGTGTAGTTAATAATTATTACATAAATATGATAATGCTATCGTAGACTTCGTGTGCATACCGTACATATAAATTTAATTTTAATTTTATGTACCCATTTACTTGTGTATGTGTAACGACGATAATATTATATTGTGTACGTAGATGTTTTGTTTTGTTTACGCGTAGAGAGTTATACCTATAAATCTATATAAATCACTACGAGTGTCTTGCGTGTGCGTGTGCGTGTGCGTGTTTTTACTACGAAAATCCCAGCCGGGATCGTTGTTATTATTTTTTATCGCCTATACAACATACCTACAACTGTTGTACAACTGTTGTTTAGCGTTGATTTTATTATTTTTTACTAAGCATGATGGAATCTGTTTTCAAACTTTATTTTTGCGATTTGATTACTTGAGTCCTCCAAACTGTTTTCATCCAACGCCTATTCACGAGCTTTTGCATTTTTTGTGAGGCTTCTCGCTCACTCTTGCTGGTTTGCTTTTAGAATCCAAAAATCAAAGAAGCCCACTGCGCAGTTCGTTTATAACTCTAAAACAAATACTTGTGTATACCTTATAATATACTATTTATCCAAACGACACACTTATACCAACGCAATTATTACTGTATTATGATTATTTTTTATTATTATTTATTATTACCTAATAGTTTTAATTTATTTTTACCAATAGAAATTTTTTTTTTTTTATATTTAATATACAATTAAATATTATGATTTCAACAGTGTTATATAGTTAGTTACGATATAGATGTAATTAAATCGTAGAATATTATCTCAGTACCATAGTCACAGGAGTAAGTCATGTTCCAACATGTCAATGTTTCTTGGACCTTTTAGGTTTATATCTAAATATATTTTTTTATTATCATTGTTGTACGCAACGTAATATTATATTTTGTAAACCGCATGTAAAATTTTACGTAAAATATATATTTTGGAATATATATTATAATATAGGTGGTATAATGATATATAAATATATACATTTATATTATATTTTGTAAACATATTTTTTTTATTATTATTATTAAACGATATGTCTGTATTTTATAATAAATCTGTCGGTTCCTTATTTCTCACCATGATGATGATGATGATGATAATAATAATATTATAATATAGGTAGTGCTTGTGCTTTTGGTCGACGGTTGCACTTTGCATGAAGAACATGCGAACTCGGACACACGGCGACCACGTGGTGTGTCGTGTTAAAATATAGCACTATAAAAATATAATATGAAGTAGAAAAGTGCATCCGAGTGCAATGCTCGTCTTGCCCGCAGATAATATGTATAATAATATCTATCGTCGCTGACCGCTAAGTACGAGACTACATCGTACACCGCCGAGGAACGATCCAACCGCAATCTTGATTCATGACGTGCTTACTCGGGATTAATCGTGATCCGATCGTCCTGTGAAAATCGTGTTCTATACATTTATAATATACTTTCGCTCGCTAGTTGCGAAAGACAAGAGACGTAGTGTGTGCAGTAATAACCGCGTGCCGCGATAAACGCAAAAATGCTGCACGATGACGAGTTGATAAAATAATAATAATGTTAAGAAGACACGACCTCGTGTAATATTGTATACATTTTGATCGGAGTGGAGAAGTAAAAATGGTCCGAAAACTTCCGAAGTATAATGGTTTGGTTGAAAAATTGCTGAAACGACTTCTCGATTACCCTCGCAAGAGCCAGTGTGTACTTTCGGTGTAGGTATAGAAAGAGAAAAAATAACCATAAGCAATTTAACGGAAACGCACGATCGAAGAATAATTAAAAAACTGGCTCTTCACTATTATAATACAATTTAATTACACTGTCGAAACATCCCTCTACATTGTATACAACGAGTTTCTGGGGAATCTGAAGTCTACAGTGAACAAATACCTATATAATATACAGAGTGATTCACCAATGACATGCTCACCCACATGGAATTTTACTTAAATAATGAATGATTTTTGGTGGTTTTAATTAGGGTTACATAAGGTCCATATTTTAAAATGCTTAGATTTTTTACACGATTTAAGGGTTCTTGTGCTTTTTTTTTTCGAATGAGAACCAACCTTTTTTTCAATGTAAATTGTTAAAAGCAGATGAATTTTTAAAAAAAATTTTAAGTATTTAAACAAAAGTGGTAAAAATCGGTTTCTGAATTATCAAAATATTTATACTTACTAAAGATTCTATAGTAAAAGATAAAATTGTAATGTTTGTAATAATATTATTTCTGAATGTATAATATAAATAATTATTGATCGCTGACTAGAACGATGCTTCTGCTACCTAGTACGTACTAAAATATATAATACCAGTAGAAATAAATATTATTTGTTCATTCCAATTTCTAATGGTTTAAAATACTAAAAAAATGTAATAATGTAAAACTGTACGCTCTTTTAAAAACATTTGCGACTCTGTACCTCTTTAATATAGCAATGCATGGACCTAATTGTATTATCCTAAAGATTTATACTAAATTAAAAATAATTCATAAGTCCCTCGTTTGAACTTTTTTTTGGTAAACTTTTTCAAAAACAAAACTATGCTTTCATTTTGGAAAATATTGCCGCCTCCTGGACATAATAATTTTGAGAATCAGATCTTGAATTACTGTTATTGGAAAAACGGAGGTGGCAATATATGCTTAGCGAATCAACATGTACCCACTTACATATTATACAAACATTAGTATAGGCGTATTTCTTTAATAGAAACGATAATACTGTTCAATCAAACCACCCCAGCCCCTTTCTTGATGATTTATGCATCGTGTTGTCAAAAGTTACTTTCGTCGAGAGGTCTCTCGGGGATCCAAGACACTCGGAACGCACGCTAAATAATATACAGGAGGTCGTGACGGCGAGTGACGGTGACGGTGTCATCCTGTCAATTTGCATCTAACCCAGCACATTATAATATATAGTATCAAGTTGCAATGTCCTATAGTGGTCCTGGTGCTGCAGTTGCAGCCAGGACGACGGCTGAACTATATTCACATTATATGATAGAACGCATCGAAACACTGAACACCAATATTACAATAAATTGTTCTACGATATTGCACCTTGTCATTTGCACCGCCTGCATAATAATATTATAACCATCATTGTATGCTGTGTCCATTTACTATTTCGGTCGGGTAAAACAAGATATGCTGCAGCTGCTGTATAGTGCATATTAATATCATTAACGTAGATCACCGATCGCCTCTACTGGTGATTCGCACCGGACATTACGAAGAATAATATGTTGAATAATGTGTTAGGTATAATAGGTACCTGCTATAATTGTATTTATGTTTTTTTTATTTTCCTATTCCCCCATTATATTATTATATGCGTGTACTATGTATAAGACGAGTTTTCAGTGTGTTTTAGAAAAAGTCGAAACATAATATAATTACTCGGAGCTTCCGTCATTTGGCAGTGACGTTTGAAAAGAGACGCGTCTTGTGTTTGAAATAGAAAAAAAATGGATATATTTTTAGAAACACGTGACACCCCGCGCGGGACTGCAATTTCAGCTGCATCTAGCTGTCTCCGAGTGAGCATATTATTATTATCATAGACGTCATGATCCAGGAGTATATAATAATCTGAGTAAAGACCACTCGACGTGAATTAACAACCACTGATTACCGTTATATTGTTACCACGCCGCCGCCTCACAGCCGATGTCCTCAACTCCGGAAATGATTTACAAGTTTTCCATCGCCGCCATCGCGAACCCGACAGATTAACGTCAGGATCGCCCTCAACAATGCTTCTTTTAATCACTATACTCGCGAATGATGAAAATAATATAAAATAATACAATATGCGTGTACAAAGGCATACGCGCTACTCAGTTCCTGCACAACTGCCGCCGCCGATAATGTGTTTATTATAATAACATAATCCCTCGCAAGACGACGACAATAATATACACAATCGTCGAGCGGGACATCATCGGCTGCAGCTTTTGTGCGGCTTATTGTCTGCAAACCGATGAGACCTGTCCGGTGTAATATAATATTATACGTCTTGTCGGGCGCATTTGTACCGTTATTGAGCTCATAGTGGGACGAATCCTCTACCAGGCCGAAGAAATTTCACACGGATACTTTTATTCGTGTTTCCGTTCATTTTGTACAGTATATTATTGGACGCGTCGTATAATCTAGCTATTTTGCTGGTATCTATATAATATTGTTGTATAGGGCAATTCGCCGATCATGATCGCCCCCTCTTACTTTCTAATTGATTTAAACATTTTGGAAGGCGAATCATATTAATTTATAGGCATTTTACAATATTTATAATTCCTAATAATTGTCGGAATGGTAACTAATTAGGACTAATAATAATATTAAATGTAGGTACATTTATTTTAATTGTATGTATAAACCCTAACCGGGAAAGTAGGTATCATGATTCATGACCGTTATCCATAATACATTAAGTTTATGAACTTTTGAACTCATCAACAACTTATGAACTCGGGAAAATACTTGTTTACATTTTGTTTAGATACATGAATGTTTTCAAAAAGCTATCTGCCGAATAAATTAAAGTTAAAAAAGATGGTTCTCGTTTGAAAAACAGAAGTGTTTATCACCACAGGAATCACTCCTTAGTAGGAGGTACGAAATATCTCGATCATTCCAAAATACAGTGTTTAAGTTTATTAAAAATTTCCAAAAATCTGATTGGGAATAGTTATTACAGTATTGTAAAAAAAAAAGAAGTGCAAGACTGATGAATCGTCTTATGAATCTACCTAGAAATACCTACCTGGAATATTATATTCCACGCGTGATATAAGGTTGGTGAGTTTTACTGTTAGGCACTTATTGGCGCTGCACATTGTCAATGCATATATTGTACGTGGTCGTCGGAGAATAAAAAATTGTTGGACCATAATAATACTATACAGTGTATACCAGGAAGACCTGACAAAAGAAATAATACTTTTGCTTCAATCAATATTTTTTAACTTTTTGTTTTTGCGACTCTTGTGTTACACGTGCAATATAATATTTTTTATTTTTATTTTGTATAATAATAATAATATAATACTGAAAATAAAAAATTTAAAATATGTTTTATAAAGGATTCAGTGAATCAACCATAATAATATAAGTCTACTTTTACAAAATAATTGGTTTTTATTCATGGAATAAATTATTTGGTAGAAAAATCAAAAAATCTTTTTATTACTTCCAAAGATAATACGTCAAAATAAATTATAATCCGCAAATATTTAAGGTCAATGAGATAACGAATTTTGTTTGCTTGTCCTTAACAATTAGTAAAATGTGACTTATCTGGTTGACGCACTGAAATGTATTATTATTATTCCGTTAGGGCTGGTGATGGATTTGTACCAATATCTTTGCTCGTTGTAACTTGTTAGACATGGCTTTTTTTAGTTAAATTTTTAAATCGTGTATTTAAATAGTTTATTTTAGTCTTGCATGTTTTGCTTTTTAGATATTTAGGTAAGTTTGTCTGCATCCTATGAAAACGCTAAAATAAGATAATTAAGATGCCCATACATTATGTGTAATTACTATAATGTGATTTTTAATATCCAATACTATTTATTTTTTCATACATAATCTAACACTTTGTGAGGAACTTTTAGATTCTCATCATTGTTCGAGTTTTTTTGCATTTAAAACATAACAAAAGTATATTGTGCTAAGTACCTACCCCTTTCGTACTAGAATTTTGTATAATTTTTCAGTACAATTATTACAAAAACGGGTATTCTGGTTATTGTTTTTCTAAAAAAATAATTATTTACTTATTTCCATTTGTTTTATTTATGCATGTTATAACTTATAAATTATAACAACGCGTTATTTGTAAAATATCTTTACACGTCATTATTTAGTTTTTTAGACAACTCGGACTCACGCCTCACGTTTTTATTTGTTAATTTTTTTTATTGTTAAAACAATCGTACAAAAGTGAAACATGAAATCGTTTTCTACGAATTTTGTTGTGCCTGCACATTAATTGGGATTATAAACAAATTTTCATATACCTGACCACGATATAAAATAGTAGTTTTATTGTTTAAACATACCGTCCGGCGGAATGATTGCAGGTTTGACACCGTTTTGGAATGCGATTATTATAGTGTTTCTTAATTTATTGCTACTGTTTATATTATTATCGTACAGCATAAGTATATAGGCATATAGTAGTATTTGCAGTTGTTTGTTAACTGCAGTAACAGTTGCAGTAGGCTTTCATCTGCTGTGGCCGTTACGAAGGGCTCAGCCCATATAATCATTTATATTATTATTATTGTGAAAACAATAACTGTGCGTTGTGGTGATGACTCAAACATTAACGGGCGTGGGTATGGGCGTGTGCGTGTGACGTTTTGCAGATGGGCAGCACCGACAGCTTGGACTCGGGAAAGGACTCGGCGTTGGACTCTGAGTCGCCACTGCACGACGGCATCCCGAGGGCCATCGCCCCGTGCAAGCAGCAGCCGCCGATCGCGGAAGGGCGGCGGAAGAGGGTGGACAAGTACTCGGCGTCGTCGCCGCCACCTGTAGCGGCCCGCGAACACCACAACCGGTCCAAGTCGGCGGACTGCTGTGGCGTCGGTGGCGGCGACGAGGACGGTTCACGGGCCAGGACGCACGCCAAGAGCCTGAGCCTGGGCGACGACTCGTTCGACCACAAGATCCAGCTGTGGCGGAAGCGGGCCGACTCGCAGGGATCCATCGACCGGAAGCCGCTCCCGGCCGTCCGGCACCAGCTCCAGCAACAAGCCGCCGACATGAAGGGTACCGGCGGCGCCCCCGATCTGGTCATGGACCTTCCGGCCAGGACTACCGGCGGCGGGGCGGCTCCACAGGACCCGTCGGCGGTTACGACCCAAGAACCCGACAGCCCGGACATGGGCACGGCTGCCGAGCGTTTCGCCAAGCAGAATCAGTGCACGTTGAAGAAGTACAGCAAACCGTTGCCCGCCTTACCACAGCTGGCCAACGGTGGCGGCGACAAGCCAGAACTTCCGCCCAAGTCGACCAAGCCTCCGCTCAAGGCCAAGCCGCAGATATTCAAAAAACCAGTCTTCCTCGCGGCCGGCAAGGCGTGCAACGACGGACCGGCGCCACCACACCACCCTTAGTAGTACCTATCCACGTACGACCGCGACCGGTGGTGTGACTTCCGGTTTTGGTTTCCGAAACGTCCTCCCTTCCACAAAATATATGGACATATTTATACGACCGCCGACAACTAATAAAGTTAATAAAATCTACTTAATTTCTCGTGTGTACCATTTAAGTAGGGATACCTATCCATCCTTTAGCGACTGTTCCCTGCGTGATCTTTCTAAGTTACGTGACTTTGCGGCCACTTGTCGACCCAGCCCTAACCGTATGCAATTTAGTATATACTATCAACGTGTTGTCCAATCAAATCCAATGCTGAAATACTTTTGGTATACAATGGTTGTCCCTGCAGTATCAACACAATATTATAATATTATAATACCTATGCGTCACCTGCAGTCTCCACCATTGAAGCGTTAGTTTTACATATTATCCAAGATAAAATTATACGCGTATAGCCTATAATGAAATAATAACATTTATAATCTTCGATAAACAGTCATTCCTTTTTCAAACCATTCTTTTTAAAATATTAATGATATATTATGATATATATATTTATTTAAACATTATTTTTTAATCGATATTATATTATTATACTATATATTATATTATTACAATACGTCGTGTTTTAGTCATTACAATTCTAACTTGTGCATTTAATAACTGTCGTCCGTGTGTGAGTGTGCAGTTTCCTACGTCCCCGAGTGTTTACACGAAATATTCACAAAAATAATCATAATATATTTATATTAAATCAAACCTGATCTCATATTATTGTATTATAATAAAAAACATACACCAATAATATTATTATTCAAAGTTACTATAGAAGATTCTGCGTGGACGGAGGTTTTATGCCCAACAACGCGAAGGCCTATTTATTTTTTATTTTTTTTCGATTTACGCTCAAATCGCGTTCGAGTACGAAATAATAATAATAATATACGCATGTAAACGTACCTAATTAATATTACTAGCGCCCGTTTGGTCTGTTCGGACATTTTTCGATCGAGGCCGTTTTTTTGAATGGCACTCAATCCGAAACGCTCTCTCCGAGACCTGTCACGAACGTCTGAATTCCGAGAGGATCGCACCGCGCCGCTCCCACGTGGACAATAAAAACGTAATGAATTGTCGAGCTCATTGAATTGCGTCGAGACTGAAAATATTTTCGTGCTTTTTACCCTTTTTACAAGTGGAACGAGACTGATTGTATAGTATTTTATGAACAGATCATGATGATAATATTCTATAGGATTTGTAGATTTTGTATTGTACGCGGAATTCAAGGGAAAAATTGTAAGTCAAACTTTGTAATAATATTTAATAAGTCGTGTTGTCCAAATAATTATTATCGCTACCTGTTGTCAAATATTAATTAATGTTCCGTTCCGTTTTTAATCGATCTGTTCGTGTATAATATAATATATTGTTTACTCATTGTAAGGTAATACTCCCATCAGGACACCAACAACGTTATTACACTGCAACATTTTACAATAATAATTCATATATTATTATTTCGGATTCAGATACTAAGGGATGAGGGCCTTATTTTACAGGACCTAGAGATATACCCCGTACCCCTGCCCGACAAATCGTTTAAGATGTAATTTACTGTTATGAGATGATTTCGTTTTGAATTACACTATTGTATTATCATATTATTATATTATACTAATTAGTAGCTTTATTTTATAAACATTCCCTTCTGGACGGCCCTCCTCCCATTTTAAATCCTGGTTCCGTGCCAGTAATTGTTTCCTCCGCTATATTTTATAAATCGTGTTTACTTGAAATATATTCTATATTATAAGTATACCTATAATATAATACATTTAATATTATATAAAATATTATTATAATATTATAATATTATCTAAGCGTACTTCCCGAAAAGATTTTGAGTACTTGCATCAAAATCATATTATTATTTTGTTTTTTTTTTTAAATTGTTGTAATATTATTTTTATTATTATTATTATTATTATTATTATTATTATATTTTATATTGCTAAATTTTGGACTGGTAAATTATGTTAACGTGTGCATAACGACTTGTAAACGCCAACACATTGGCCAACCGAAATGTATTTTCCATTTTGCTATTGTTTTAAAACCGTTATTTTATACATGAACTCATTATATTATGTCGACAGGGTGATATACCATAAACATCGTCCTCCGCCAAGATTTTCGATTGATGTAATAATATTGTTCTACCCATAAAAGTATTTTTTTAAAACGATTATTATTATTATTATTGCATTATTGATATAATTATGTTACGACCCGCGTATAAAATTCTAAAGCAAAGAAAAATTATTTATTTTTACGCTAAAAAAAAAATAACGTTTGATATTGCCGCAAAATATCCCCACACATTGTGTCAAATAATAATTATAGGTGTACCCGCGTGACGTTCCGTCGAAAAATAACAATTATTTTCGTTCCTATATATTATTATATTTTGTAACATAGATATAGTTCAATGCCGATTTGGTTGCCAAACTTTCCCCTATTTTTGTACGCGCTCCCGATTTGTGTCTCGTGTACGCCAAAATATGTCTTGTTTTTATTTATATAAATTATTATGTACGTACGTTATATCCAAGTATTCGTCTCATTCTCTCTCCAACTGTCATTGTGCATCCGTCTATTATCTCTCTATCTCTCTCTCTCTCTCCGTATACGTTTAAAGTACCTATTCAATAAATAACATTATAATATAATATTAATAAGAGTGTGCATATTGTGTGCCCCAGCTCGTGTGTGTTAAGTGTTTATACATTGTTATCGCTGTCCACCGGAAACGAGTATTAATTATGCAACGATATGCGAATGCAGTTAGTCGTATATACGCCACGAGAAACTCAGATGGACATCGACTGAGTCTATTACTCGTTTTTCTTCCATCTCTATTTTAATATTATTGTCTATTGAGGGAGGTTTTCAGAATATAAGTGATTTTTCAACTATTGTTATTTATATTATTTTTGTTTTAACAATAAATTCGATTAGGTTATTAAATACTACTCATCAATATTGAAAAACCTTTTTGAAAAGAAAAATATTATATATTCTTTTGTAATAATTAACAACATCGGCAGATAGATTTTATAATAATAATATATAATAATATACCGATTTTTAGTCCTATCGATTAACATTTTAGCGATCAAACTGTGAGCGTACTCTCTCTTCCCTCTTGCCTTGATCAAAGCTGGATTTTCGTTTATTTATAGTATTTTTTCTTCGGAGAAGTACGTACTGGAGATGGTAATTAATCGCGTTGAAAACTTTTCCGATTTTCTCGACGCCCACAGAATTTATAGGTGACTTGTGCGACCAAAAGCGGTGGCCCAATCCAAGGTCACGTGTTTCCCGATTTCTTTTTAGAATCTCTGATTAAAAAAGTCTCGCACACTGCTTATACGTATTCTTGCATGGTGCTTTTATTACGTCATACCCGCTCGCTCTATTCTACATATTATGTACCTACGTTTTAGTTTTTTTTTTTTTAACGAAAATTCACGTTATTTTTTGACTTTCACACACACACACACACACAATACCGAAGTGTAAATAAATATAACGCACAATACCGTTGAGCACAAAAATGCCGACCATTATTATATTATTTTATACCGTAGACGACTCCCGTCACGTGCGATACGCCTTCCGCCGGTCGCCTTTCGATAATAATAACGTAGTAGTCACTGGATTCGAGTGAACCCCTTTCGCACTTTGGGGAGGAGGTACGCAAAGTCAGAGACGTATTATTAACATTATTAATATACGTGGGCACCGAACGAGGCGTTTGCTTGTGTGTGTGTACGCGAATGATATTTAATTTTAATAAGGCGGCGTGTAATATTGAGGACTACGATGTATAAACTAAACACAAATGTGGCACACAAATCACAATAAATATTTATTACTCTACTCATTCATAATATTACAATAATTATATGTATATAATAACATTATGCCATATTATATACGATATTATGATAAAAAAAATGTCAACGAAAATATTATATTATTTCCAAATAAAACTCATTATTATACAGTACCCATATAATTGTCATAACGCCTTGTTGTGTTTCTTTATTTTAGTAATTGTGGAATTTTTAAAACCATACACACTATAAGTGGTATGAGTACCAGAGTACCTAATTATAAACCTATCTACGCCCTTTAACGCAGTGCCATTGCTGCGTTGAGACATTGTAAGGCATGTAGACTGTTGGTGTATGTGCAGTTATAACTAAGTCACGAGTTAAGCGTATTACACTTTTCCTCGACGTCATGATCACTGTCCACATAATATTATTATAGTTACCGGAGTTATAATATGTCTCGCGAAGAAAGTTTTAAAAAGTGACTTGGACGGCCGACACTGCAGGATTCGACACTTGGGCATCGAAGGAATGAAATCCTTCGTCGTGCGCCCGGTGCAGGATCACCGTGGCAGGACGAGCGAGAGAGAGGGACTATAATAATAATAATAATATTATTATATAATATTGCAGTTTTGATTTATTAAACTGCATAGCTCGCGAAAGTCGAACCGTATTTGGCTTAGGGTCGCGAGTGGGAGGGGGGAGGGGTACACGCGTATACGACGTATTATAATATAATATATTTAGAGAGTTTTGAAGATGATGAATCGTGTGCGAGCACGACTGCGCTAACGAGGGCGGCGGCGGTGGACAAAAACCCGGGAAACTTTGACACCTTAAGACCGAAGACCGGAAGACGTTTCGACGCGGGGTCGACCGGCGGGATGTAAGTAAGTACGCGGCGGCAATAAAACACGACTGCGCCAATAATTAATTATATATTTCGTATTATGTTATATAAAATATTATAATATTATTATTATTATTATAACACGCGTTCGGGAGTTTGACGGACGGATTATAAGCGCGGGAAAACAACTGGTCGCTGTGATATGGCCAAAACCAGCTGCGTTGTTTCCCCCTCGGATTACCAAATAATAATTATA